CCATCTTCGTCCACTTTCATCGGCTGCGACTCGCTCGGGAAGCTTCGCCGTGGGCGCCCGGGGCCCTTTCGTCGTGATCGCGCATCCCTAGGACGCGGGCCGGCTCCATGGGCTGTCGGCGAGTTCCAGGTCCGCTGCGGCATGCGTCCGCGGATAGGGGCAAATCAGTGCAATGGGGGGGGGGGGGGGGGGCGTGGGATGTTAGATATGGCGCGAGCGCACTTCGCTTGCCTAGCCCCTCCCGTTATCTTCTGCTTCCCCCTTCGCCCCCCCCCCCCCTCGCCCCCCTCCATCCTCTCCCCCCCATGTCCGCCGCTTTGGCTCGGGAAGGGGCGGGCCCGCGCTTTTTTGTGACGCGAATTGTTGGGCGGCGTTGTGTCGCAGGCCAATGTGGCGTTTGCTGTGGAAGCCCACGCCAAGAAACGCCCTCCTTGCCTGTAGGGCGCCCTGGGTTTCGATGGTTTTGCGATGGAAATCGCGACGCTCCAACGCCAAAAATCGATGGGCGCCCCTCGCGCATGGGCTTGCTCATCTGATTTGCAAAAGAAATGCACGCCCCACCAAACGCATTGTAAGCACTGCCAGGCCTGCTGGAACAGTTCGGGATGAAACGCTATGTCCAAGCTTGGGTGGGATACTTCCACGGTTCCACGGCTGGTGGGTGGTATGATCGCGGCATGCTTGCTCTGTCCCCTGGGCCTCAGTTGTCACCGCTCGGCAGTTCAGGAAGCGGAAAAGGAGACGGCCACCCCAGCCCCAGGCCTCGCCGTCTGCGAGTTGGACAGCCTCGGCCCCGCCGCTTGCAAGCAAGACATTCGCAACTCTGGTCGGGCGCGCTGGCTGGGAAGCGAGGGGCAGCAACCAAAGTTTTGCCAACCTCAGCCAGTGCAGAGTCAAGCCGTCGAGAACAGTTGGCCAAGTCGGTTGACAAGTTTGATCGTCGACGACAAGGGCGCCGCAAATCACGGGGAGATGCGTCAAAAGGTGGCCGATGACACGCGGGGGGCTGACTCAGAATATCGCGAACTGATCGCCAGACCCGCCGCGTAGTTGCAGACTCCTCAAATGACGTCATTCACCGCCGACGGCATCGTTCAAGGCCCTGGTGCACGGCGAACCCTTCGATTTCCAGCTGGACGATGACCTCTTCATCGGCGAGGAGCTCTCGGCAGAGGATCAGGCGGCGCGTTTCCAAAGGAAGAACGATCTAGAGAAGGCTTCCGCGACATGGCTCAGAAGCCTTTCGGCCGCCAGCGAGCAGTTCATCGGGGCGCGCGGCAAGCGCGAGGATGCGGCCGCGCGCTTGGCAGGGGGGGGGGTCGGCATCGACGAGGCTGCTGCAGGCGGCGGTGGCGCGGGGGAGGGCGACGCTGAAGCTGGAGGCGCACCTGGGGCCGCGGCCAGCGAGGGCCCGGGCGCTGCGCCCGCGGGCGCCGGCGAGTCCGACTCGCGCGTGCGCCGCTAGCCCACGTTCTGCAAAACTTTTCCGCCGCAGCTTCAGTTTCCTGCTTCTGCCTCTCCCAAGGGCGGGGGGGGAGTCCCCCTGCCTTTGTCCCGCCCGTGCCCCCGGAGCAACTTTGCCTGGTTCCAAAGGCGAGGCCGCCCGTCGCGGCGCCCCCCTCTGCGTCCCAGGCAGCCCACAGGCGCTCTTTTGCGATTAGAGCTTTCGAGCCGCGTGGCTTTCCCTCGACGCGCGGCCCCCCTGCCCGCCCGATGGATTTGGGCCCGCGGTCACCGGGGATAGTTGCAACAGACGCGGTTCGATGGGGGAATTACTTTCGGCCGCGCGACCCCACGGCCTTGGGCCTCGGACGGGCCAGCAAACATCGTCTTGACCAGGGTCGTTCCGGCGCCCGATGGGGGGCGCCCCGGGCGGCGCGGCTATCGCGGGCAGTGATTTCACGGGCCGGCCCCCGCAAGGGGGGCATCCGAATCGCACCTTTGAGGGCCGCTGGAGTTACGGCGGATCTCCCAGGAGAGGCGACGGCGCTGCTCGTTTCGCGCTGCGGCTTCGACGCCGAGGGGGTGGCCGCTAGACGGTTGGATTTCCTGGGGGACATCAGATCTTCTTGTTTCGGAAGGGGTTCGTTCATTTCCGGCGGCGATTTCAAAGGGGGCCGCCCGGGCCTGGGGCCGATTGCGAAACCCAGAGGACAGGTGATATGCGCCGAGTTCCCGGCTCGCGTCGGTGCGAAGGAAAAGTGCTATGTAGTTCTGTTCGCGGCATCGCCGGGCTCGGCCAAATGGGTCGAGCACGACGGTTTCGCAGAAAACGTCCATTTCAATACCCGCTGCGCCGTCTCACATAATTTGCACGCCGCGCATGCACGGCTGCAGGCGCCCGGCTTTCGCAAGCCCCCCCCCCTCCCTATTGCCAGTCTTGCCGATTCCAGGACTTGTTCATTTCCCCCGGCGGGACGGGACTTCTCCAAGGGGTGCGAGTTCCTTGACAAGTGCGAGGCAGCTGCGCAGGCGCGAGAAGCAGACAGAGCAAGTGCGCTCATTTCTGCTGCCTACAAGCAGTGGGCTAATGAACAAGTTGAAGATGGCATTGATTGATTGTCCAATGGCGCTGACCTTCCTCATCCAGGCGGCAGGGGGACGGATCCAGTGGCCACATGGAAGTCGCTCATCCGCTCCGACTACCGAGACTCCAAGAATTCCACCCTGCATGCTGCGAAATGGGCTTGCGGGTTTCATTGCGCGTTCCCCTGGGATCTTAAAGCGGCCGCGGGCGGGCCCGGCGAGGGGGGGGCTCGGGGGCCGAGGTTTTGATGGCTACAGCGTTTGTCGGGGCGCTCCTGCGACGTGCTCCCTGAGGCAAAATTCACGGGGGAGTCCACGGTGGCCACCTGGGGGCAATGGGAGGCATTCCAGCTGCAAGGGCCAGGTGGCCCGAAATGCCCACGCCGCCCCCGAAGACCCCTATTCCTGGAAAACCGCCGCCACTTTGGCGGAGGAAAGGCCGGTGGTGTCCGACCCCTTAGACCTTGCTGGGTTGGAAGCCTCTCGGTTTCGAACCCTTGGGAGGTTCAGCAGTCGTGCTCAAATGTGGAGATCCAGATTGCGGAGCCTTTTCCTCCCGTGAGTTGCCAGGGCCTGAAGGCCCTCATCAGGAGTTGCCTGGTAAAGAGCGCGGTCTCCCACGACGGCTTCTCTTGAGGTGCTGCCCGTTCCTGAATGACAAGAGCTGATGGATGTTCACCCGCTTCTTTGCCATCGCCGAGGGTACTTCATTTCTCCCCATCGCAGGTGGGAGCTGTTGTCAACGCTAGGCTAAACAAGCGTCAAGGGAAGGCCGACCCATCGGGATCTTCCACTCCTCGCACCGCATCTAGAGAACATGTCGACGACTGTTAGCTGAAGATTGAGAACAGTCATGTTAGCGGGCACTGCGCGGCTGGAAAGCATTGGGGGGCTCGGGGCACAGCTTGGAGGTTCAACATGTGGCATCAGGCGCGAAGATTTCGTTGCTTTGCAGCTTTGCAGCGCTCCTAAGCATGCCTAGGTGTTACGAGCTGGCTTGCATGAAGGCCTTGAAGGTTAGACGACAACCGACGTCAGTTTCATGTTGGCATCCTGAACATGTGCACATGTGCTTTCAAGTCCGCGAGGCGCATGGTCCTCGCGAGGATCCACGCACCTGCCATCTACGCGACACACGGAGCCATTGTTGGGCGCTGTATAGCTTAGTATAGCCACTACGCTTAGCATAGTTCGCGCTCTCGACGCGTTCGACACCATTCCCTGGATGATGTGCGGTGTGGACTCGGGAGGAAATCGGCTGGATGGGCGGGGCAGGGATTTCCCGAAACGGCCGTTCAGGCGCTTCTGTGCGCGCGTCGACGACGGCTACCTGTCGGCCATTTGTGGCGTTTTTTTTTTTTTTTTTTCCTTTCATCACCCAGATGATCGGAGGTCAGGCCGTCATGGGCTAGGCCGCGCTCGTCTGTTCGTTTCAAAGACTTGGAGCGAAGCTGGGGGGCTGGCTCGGATTTGGGGGATTCTATTCTGAGTCGGCGGAGGGCCTAGGAGGCGGCGACGCCGCGGGGGTACCGTGAAGGACAGGCGGCAAGAAATTGATGGTTCCGCGTGCTCAGCGGTCCTCCTGGCTCAAGAGGAAGCCGAACGATGCCGGAGGCTCAGGAGTCACTTTGGCATAGCGGCTATCCAGGTTTTTGGTTCGGGACCTCTACTTGGAGCCACTCATGGGGCTGAGATCTACGGGCTTTCAGACGGGAGGCTTCGGTCGCCTAGGGGCAAGGCGGCAATATTCATCTAGCCGTCATCTCCCAGCAGGTCGCTGACGGCGCTAAGCCTCATGTGGGGGGCCCTGCGTGGCATGCGTTGGCGGCGTATTGTCTTTGCAATTGCTTGCAAGGACGCGTGGCTTCTCAGGGCCCACTTTTTTCAGACGATGTTTCGATTTGCTTACTCTCAGGAGGCCTTGAGAGAAAGTATTTCAAGTGGCAAAGGCACGGGGCTCACCTGGAGGACCTCGTCGGGACCCTTGTCGGCGGTGTTCATGTCCTTGCCACGTCTGGGGCGGGGTATGGTCCGGTTGACTTCGCCTGTTGACTTCATCTGACTTCGACTGGCGCCTGTTCTGGTCAAAAAACTGTCGCGCGTTGCCACTTTGAGGATTCCGGGGGATGAGCGTTCAAGAGGCTCGTTGATTGTGACCTTCCTGCGGGCATGGCAAATGCTCACGCTCGTGCCGACGAAGATCAACAAGCCCCCCCCCGCACCTCTTGCCCGACCAGCTACGATTTCATTGAAGTCAGAATGCGACGCTGGGGCCGCAAGCCCAGACGTCATCCCTCAGGCACCTCCTGGGTCCCCTCATGCCGCGAGTCCAGGTGAAGCCATCCGCGTAGTTTGCCTCCCGCGTGACGGTGGATTTCCCAAGTTGTGCTTCGATGCGATTCAGCAATCGCCCTGATCGTCGAAATTCATTCAATTTCAAAAAAGGTTGTATCCGATCTATGTGCTGCAATGCGATGTGCACTCAAGTCAGGGCGCTGGCCAGGGGATTGCAGGTCTGCGACTTTTGTGGGAAGTGCGGTCTGCTCCCCGACACTCTGTTTCACAGGCTCTGGGCGCGCGTCGCCACCCAGGAGGAAAAGCTTCAGGAGGTTAAGGAGGAGGTCGCCGATGAGGCGCTCGAGGCCCTCAATCAGAGCTCACCTGATCTTACCGCGTTCCTGATGCGCGCTCTCCCCCACCCAGGAGGCTTCGTGCCCAAAGGCCGTGGTCCAGGGCGGAATGCCACCTGTGGTCTTCTAGGATTTCAGAGCGCCTGGCACGGGGATCGGTGTCCCGGGAGGTCTTTGGGGGCCTGGGTTCTTCTTGGCAACATTTTCTTGGGCGGCATTGTATGTCAGATTGCGATAGAAGAGTGGAGTAGGTTTGCATGTGGAGTGGCAAAGGTTTCCCTGGAGGGGGACCCTGTGCCCTGGATGCACGGGCCCGTCTGCGCCACATGCTTTAGTCCTCGCAAGCTGGCGAATTCTAGTAAGAATTTAGAAGATGACGCCCCCTTCCTCCAGACTGTGCTCGCGTTGCTGGTGTTTCCCAGGGGGGTCCCACTGACAGGGTATCTGAAGGGAGCGAAACTATACATCTATTAACATCGCGCGTCCTATTGTTAAGCTGGCCGTCAGGTTCCTTTCCTTGTGGCCCCAGTGCGATAAGTCTGAAATTGAATTTTGTAATCCCGAACGCTCCCCGAAATCCAGGCGGTAAGGGCGCACCTGGAGCTGGGTTCTGACTTTTTCGCAGTGTGACATTTGTTTGTGAGGGAAGAGAGGCCCCAGCCGTCCTCATCCGTACACCTGTACTGTGCCCCGTCGATTGAATGTCCAGAGATGTTTGTTGCGAGCGGCCATGTCCGTGCACTTATAGTTTGGTTCGGAGAGCCAGTTCTCTGTACTTGCTTGAACTGCCGCCATGACATCACAGGCGGCGGGATTGTCAAGCTCGCCTCACCTTCTCGGGTACGGAGGAGGATGGTACTCGAAGGACTCCTTGGAAGTACGTGTGCAATGGCAGGCCCCCCCAGCAGACCAACAGGGAGAGGGATGTTAGGTTCCCTTCTTCACCTTGGCCTCTTGATTGAAGGCATGAAGCCGTATAAGTTTAAATGACATCCTCTTTCACTCGTCCTCCGTCCTCCCGCCTCCTCCCCATCCCGCCACCTCTCTGCCCCACCCCTTTTGGTCGCCGCCGCCGTTCGCGTCCACCCGTCGTGCCCCCTGGGGGCAGGTCCAAGATCGACGTGGCTTCGGCGCGGTCGGCGGCGCTCAAAGAGGACGTCAAGGAGCTGCAGGCCAACCTGGCCACGCTGGCGAAGGAGCAGGCCGCTGCGGGCGGCCCGCCGGCGTGCAGGAGCGGGGTCCGGTGGGCCGAGGCTCGGGCACGTGGCGGAGCCCACAAAGGGCGTGGCGCGAGGGGGCGGCCGTCGAATGAGGCGGAACGGGCCTCTTCCCCCTCCTCCTCCTCCTCCTCCTCCTCCTCCTCCTACTTCTACTCCTACTTATCCTCTTCCTCCTACTTCTCCTCTTCCTCCTCTTCCTCCTCCTCCTCCTCCTCCTTCTCCTCTTTCTCCTCCTCCTCCTTCTCCTCCTCCTCCTTCTCCTCCTCCTCCTCCTCTGCCGCCCGAGAGGCCTCTGAGAAACCCCACCTGCCCTCCTTAGAAACCCCACCGACCTTCGAAGAAGCCCAGCCCCGAAGGGCCCGTCTCCGAGCCCAGATCTCCCCCCCTTCTTGTCCCATACATGACTCCGAGGTGGGAGTTCATACTGGAGGATAAATTTTCGGGGACCTCGGCAGGCGGTGGATATGGATATATTCGGGCCCCCGGGGGCTAAACTAGATCCATATCCACCGCCCGTTGGCACATCAGGACGTCAGTTCCCAGACGGTGGATATGGATAAGTCCACGCCTCGCAATGTTTGCGTCTTGAAGAAACCACGACGGAAGGCTGTTGGTAGTTTTCGGCCCCTGGGGACCCCCGTCGGGACCTGGGACCGTCGAAAGAAAACCTGGGATAAAAACAGCAGCGGCCACGGGGAAGAAGGCCAGGTCTCATGGCGCCAACATCGCAGAGCGGATTTCGTTCGGAAAACAATCAGGTGAGCTTGAAGTGTCCTGGAGAATTTCGTTCCCGATTTCGCTGGTGAATTTCGTGCGGATGTTTCTGGCCAGGAATGAAGACTAACAAACATCCACGCGAAACTCACTTCGTTTTTCACTCGCCGTTTCGGGGTTTTGCATTGACAGAAGTCCACGCGCAAATCCGCTGCAGCGCGTCTGCAAGGTCGGTGCAGTGACAGAACGTCCAGGGACCCCGCATTGAAACATCGAGACATCGCATGTCTGGTGCTGTCTGCTATGTATTCCATGCGTGTGTGTTGTGTGTGTTGTGTGTTGTGTGTTGTGTGTGTTGTGTGTTGTGTGTGTTGTGTGCGTTGTGTGTGGTGTGTGGTGTGTGGTGTGTGTGTGTGTGTGTGTGTGTCTGTGTGTGCGAGTGTTTCCTAAGGTTGCCCTCCCCCGCCCGTCAAGGGCTTTCTGGACATTTGTCAAGCCTCTCTTGGGCCTCGGGGGGGGGGGCTTTTTGTTGCCACGGCTTGGTCTTTTGTTTTGCTCCGGGCTCTGGTCGGAGAGTTCTGGTGGAGGGCCCACAGCTCCGACGCGCTCGAGAAATCGTGCCGTGTGCTCCAGCTTCTGAGGGGTGTGTGTCGGGCCTAGGGCCGAGGGAAGGTCAAACGAGACCCATGCCAAGAACACCCTGCTTGCCTCCAGGGTGTGCCCTGGGTTTCCATGGTTTCGATGGAATTGCCATGGAAAGCGTGACGTTCCCACACCATGAATCAACGGACGTCCTGGGGTCTCAGGGTTGGGTTTCTTGTGGACTGGCCTCCACTGCAGTGAAGGCGAAACGAACATCAGGGATGGGTCACCTGTTCCTGTCAGGGCGAGTCGAGAGTTCCAGGCAGGGGCCACATGCAAACTTTCATACTCATATTTCCGCTCGTCACCGTCATCTTCTCGTCCTTCTCCTACGCCCTCCGTTCTCTCTCGTCTTGACACGGTAGGCAGGATACAGGCAGACGCCAAGGAGGGGAGGAACCAACATGGTGTAAGGTGGGGCATGGGTGTGAACAGCTGCCAGCGCACTGCTTCTGGCGGCCGAGGCGACGCGTCTTGGCCGATGTTGGCCCCGACGCAAGCGGTCGCTCGCGCTGAGGCCGAGATGGACAAGATGCGCTCCTCCGCCCACGCGAACTACCTCCAGGCCAAGTCCGACCTCGAGGCCAGCCCTTCGGCAGGGACTGTGGAAGGGCGGGCGTCCTGGCCACGTCCCGGACTTGGAACCCTTCTCTCGCTTGCGCGCCGTCCAAGGCATGGGCGATTTTTGCCTTGGTGCTGGTGCCGGTGCCGTTGCCGGCGCCGGCGCCTGCGCCTGCGCCGGCGGGCGCCCGGTGCTTGTGCCGGTGCCGGTGCCGGTGCCGTTGAGCGAGAATCGCTCCATAAGTGCGCCGTCCACAATTACATGCTGGAGCTGTTCTTGTCTCCTCTCTGAAGGGGAGTGTCCACGTTGCCCCTGGGACTTGTTTCTGGTCTTGCTTCCATGAGGCATGGCAATGCTTCTTTGGTGCTTCGACGCTACGGTGCTTGACATCCGCCTCCATGACGTACAGTCGAGATTGATTAGCAGGTCTATCTTGTCAAATCGAGGGTGCCCTCGTGTCCTGTGTTTCGCGACCCGTGCCTTCTGCATTCCTATGGCGCCGTGGCCTTCGGCAGGGTCTCGTGTCCTTTTACGGGTTCTCTCCAGTCAAGTTTGCTTGCATTTTTGTTCGCCGGTGGGGAGGGGGGGGGGCGAAGGCTCACGGTGGCGACGGCGGGGGCGGCGACGACGACGGCGACAGAGACCCCCTTCGAAACGACGACGTCGACCACGACCGCCGCGGTGGCGACAACGGCGGCGGAGGCGGCGCGATGGCGGCGACGACGGCGGCGGCGACGACTGCGACGGCGGCGAGCGCCGTGCGCGGCGCGCGCGCACGCGCCGAGTGCGGCGCACCGTCCCGCGCGCCTCGGCGAGGCCGGCCTCCAGGGCGTGCGCCAGGCGCTGAGCGTGCTGCGCGAGCGCCCTTCGCCCGCCGCTGCTCGCCGCGCGCCCCGCTGGCGCCGCCCCGCCGCCGTCGCCGCCGTCCGCCTCGGAGGGGCCGACGGCGGCTCTGGGCCTGGTATCGCTCGGACGTGTGAATTGTTGGGGGGGCGAGGGGCATCCTGGATCATCATGCGAAGCGTGCGCGCACGATGCCGAAACATGCGCGGGGAATCGATGCCCGAGCGACGGCAGGTGCTCACGGGCGGCGAGCATGCCTGTAGCCATTATGGCCTCCGCGAGGGTGCGAAGTTAGTCGCGCTTCGCGGTCTGGGCGACTTCAGAGCGAGGCGCGAGTCCCTCATCGGGGGCGGCGCGAGAGCACAAGTGTAATCGCGCTCCGCGGAGCGCGAAGCGTCAAGAGAGTTGTCCTCGTCGTATCCACGCCCTCGCGGACTGGAGTCCGGGGCACGATGTCCCGCGGATGCACAGTCGCACGGACGCGTTCCAAGGCGGGGCAGCCGCGGGCAAACGCCCCGCATGCGTGGGGCCGCGGCCGAGGGCCCGGCCCGCGAGGCCGCGGATACGGATATGTTTTTTTGTCGTATGTTGATAGACCTCCTACCCCGACACGTCGATTCGCGAATTGGCCGTTTTCGGTTCGCGAGAGGGCGTCGCGGCCGTCATTTTTGCGGGTTCAGGTCCGTCGGCTTCGGTCCTAGAGGTCCTAGGCCGTTTTCATTAAAGGGAGGTTCACTAAAGGGAGACGTGTCCACTGCCGATTTGGTCGCCCACAAGCTCCGCCTGGCCGCCTCGCCGTCGTCGGACTTCTCGGAGGGGCCCCGCTCGCCGTCGGCAGCCCTCGTCCTTGCCCTCGCCGTCGGACGTCCTCGCTGCCGCCGTCGCTGTCGGTTGCCCTCGCCGCCTCGCCGTGTCGCTCACGGACGTCGTCCTCGCCGCCGCCCCCTTCGCCGCCAATCGCTAGTTTTAAGTCGGGCCTGTCCCTTTACAGGAGGAACATTCAAAAGTAGTGAAAAAATAATGCGGGGACAATTTTTCAGTATTTTTGTCAATTTTGAAATACTTGATGATTATTTCTACTTTTTCATCCAAAATCCGTCTGTAGGGGGACATGCCCGACCTAACGCTAGTCGCTAGTTCTCAGGGGAGGCAAGGGTGCTGGGCATGCTCGCGTGGTGAAAAAATTCGACGGGAGGGTCGGGCTGCTTTCAGGCTCTGTGGGCCCTCGCTGGGCCCCGGTGCCGTCAAAACTCGAATGCCCGGGATGAAGAACGGGTCTCAGGGAAGGGGTCCAGATTGTTTTGGCCGTCGTCGCCCAAGAATCATTACGTCGGGGTTTTGGGAAAAGGTGCCGATACCGTTACCGTTGCCTCGCTTTCGCCGTTTGGGGCCTCCTGGGGGGTCCTCGTCGCCACGGCTGGATTCGCCTCGAAATTCTTGTGGCATCGGTGCCGTTTTGTCCCCTTGCGCTCGGCGACCGAGGGTTTTTTCCATACCCCTGCTGGCGCCCCAACTCCACGAGGGGCCATGCGGGGGCATGGACAGCATTCCAGCCTGCGGGGGCCAGGTGTTTGTCCAAGCCCTCCCCCCGTGGCTGCACACAATGGAAAGTAGCAGCAGGGACATGGTCAGGAGGAGAAAAATCACAGAGACACAGTTCATCGTCGACTCCCTGGGAATATGGAAATTTGGGAATTGGTCGAGAAGACGAAACCCAGAACATATTTTGCAAAATATGAAGAATTTTGGGGGTTGAGTGTATTTGTTTGTGGGCCCCTGGGCTCCTTTACATAGGTTTAACAACGATTGCCTACTCGTCGCCACTGTAGTCTGCGTCACCGTTTCTCGGAGGCTGGTTCTGGGCGTCTCCGGGGATTTGCAGCCTGGGCTTCGGTGCCACTGCATCGCCGCCGTCGCAGTCGTCGACGTCGGCGTCGACGTTAGGTGTGTTGGGCATTTCTGGATGTTCTCGTCGGCAAGGCTGAGCGCAGTCCGAAAACTTGTCAAAATTGATTATGGTATGGTTCCGCATCACCGCTCACGCTTCGTTCATCATGAGAGCGTCCCAGACTTCGGACGAAGTGTTTGTTTCAACCCTGGCGTGTTCCTCAATGTTGAACTCCGGGGAGGGGTGAGGGGACCTCTGAGACCCGGCAGCTTGACCTTTGGACCACCTGGCCGATCCCAGCCTCTTCTTCCTCCGCCTCCTCACCCTCCTACTCCTCCTCGTCGTCCTCCACCTCCTCCCCCTTCTCCTCCTCCTCCTCCTCCTCCTCCTCCTCCTCCTCCTCCTCCTCCTCTTGCTCTTTGGCCCAACATTCATCATGGTAGCGGAGCTGCCTTCGGCCAGTTCTCGCTGGCGCCACTGGGGCGCTGGCCTCCCGCGCCCGGCGGCAGAGAGCGCGCGGGCGTTCCACGGCAGAGAATTTGCAAACGACGAAGCAGCAGAAGGAGGATTGCCCCCCCTCCTCCTCCCTCCTCCTCCCTCCTCCTCCTCCTCCTCCTCCTCCTCCTCCTCCTCCTTTCGAGGACGACAGTTCCGACTTCAAGATCTACGCCTTGAATGGCAGGGCGCAGGATTGAAGCCATCGACATTCGGCGTTCACGAGAAGCACTGGCAAGAGTGGTCCTTCGTGATGAGGGTCCACCTGGGCGGTCAGACTAGACATTCGCAACCAAGACCAGATGCAGCAGGAAAAAACTACGAGATCCACACATTTCGACGGTCCGAGTTCACGCTCAGATGAGGCCTGAGGGCACAGAGGCCAAGAGGCATACGTTCTTTGCGTCAGTGATGACCGTCATGGGGGGCGCCCAGATGATCATACAAGGAGTGGAGAACAAGAGTGGCGCCTTGGCGTGGAGAACGTTCGTGAAGAGATTCGGGCCTGCGGCGGCGGTCAGAGCGCAAAGCAGTCCCCACGAACGCTAGCACAGTTCGAGCGATATCATACGGACAGGGCGATATATTCGGAGGTACGAGACAGCACCAGGCGAGGTCTTCAGCGCGCGCGCGCGAAGAAGGAGAGCATCTACCTGCAGAAGGCATTGAATCACATCAGGGCAGCTTTACACATGCAGAGGGAACGGGCGCACGACGAGCTGGTGACCACGCGGGTAGTTTGCGGGCGTCAGCGGTCTACGACGACGGTTGTCAACGAGCAGTGCCATCACGCAAGCCGACGCCGAAGGATCCCAACGCCATGGAGATCGACGCGCTGAGGAAGGGCTTCCGGAAATCCTCCGTGTGCAAGTTTCTGTGCTAGTTCGCGAGCGTATTGTTGGGGATCGCAGGCATGTTGCTGGGGCTCCCAGGGACCGTCGTGCCGTTGCGCATGCGCGTGTTGCTCGGGTGTCACCGTGGTAAGTCATGGTAAGATTTAGCTTATCTCGCGCGTGATCGTCGCAGGCATTGCGCGGCGCTCGCGCCCGCGACTTGGCGCTCGTAATCTGTTGTGCCCATTGCAGGTTTCTGTTGGCGGTCGCACCCGCGTTGTTGCTCCTGGAATCTGCTGGGGTATTTGTAGGGACTAGTGATTAGTATGGTCTTGCGCGCGCGGTCTTCACATGCCGTTGTCGGATTATTTCGCCCTTTGGTAGTCGCATTCGCACGGGTTCCGGCTAGTCTCGGTAGATACGGCACAAAAGGATCGCGTGGCATTGGCAGGGTCCGGGTTCCCTCGCCGTTTTGTGGTTTGTGGTCTGAGGTGCGCCCATCGCAATTACACTGCGATGTTTGTTGGCGTAGTTTGCTGCTCGCGAGCTATCGTGGCCTCAGTAGAAACCAGCACGATTGCGCACACTTGCGGTGCAGAATTCTGTTGTGGTTTGGGCAAGGTCTGGTTTCCTTCTCCCTTTGGTTTTCGCAGGCAGTGTGGTTTGCAGGCTCCTGTGGCGTTCGAGGTTCAAGGGAACATTGCTGGCGACTGCAGGTTCACAGTGGTGCTCGAGGGCTCTTGCGGTGCTGGCAGGGTCAGGCTCGCATGCTGTCATGCGAGCGCGTGGCGCGCGCAGGCGATCGCAAAGATGGAAACTTTTGGTAGGTGGATCTGTCCAGATCTTTGCCGCCTCTGGCGGTGTGCGTTGCGAGCAGGAAGACAGCAAAGCAACAGGAAAGCGCGGCATTGACAGTGTATCTCCGCACACGTGACAAATGTTAACGAGCAGGAACACAGCAACAAAACATGAACGTGGCGTCCCCATTATCTTCCTCGCCGCGTGGTGGTCGTGCGCGGCGCGGTGCTTTCACGCGCGCCGTGGCGCGCGCGCGTGCTCTAGCGGCGTTCGCAGGCACCTCGTGGCGCTCGCAGGCATTTAGGGTTGCCTGCAGGGCCTGGGGTTAAGTCGGGCGTGTCCCTCTACAGGAGGAAATACAAATTTATTCAAACCATTGTATGGGGACGATTTGTTTAAGTATTTGTTGACTACTTTTGAATATGTTTGGGCATTTTCGATGTTTAGCACAACCTGAGCCTTAGGGTACATGCCCGACCTGAGCCTTCTGGTAATAGCAGAGTCCGGCATATGTCCGCGCGTGGCGCTCTGAGGCCACTGTGCCATAGGGCGGATTTGGCTTCTTTCGAGGCGCTACTGTCGCAGACCCAACGTATGTGCCCCGCGCATTTTGTAGTGTTCGTGGGGCGCGATGCGCTCATTCGCTTGTCGGTGGTGCTCGCAGGTAATTTGCGGCGGTCGAGTGCGATCATAATTCGGGGATGGATTTGCCTCCCCCGCTTCCGCTTCAAAACGCAGCTAAGCCATACCTCGCACCTCTAGTTTGGCAGCGCGCGCGCGTCAATACCCCCGCCTCATCGATCAGTGCTGGAACAGTTTGGTATTATACTGGGAAAACTTGGTATTGTACCGGGCGCGTTTGGTATTATACCAAGTCCGTGTTTGCATCGTTATTGAACGCATGCGGGCGAGGCCGAAAAGCATTGGGCGAGGGGAGGTGGGTCATCCTAGGGTTACTGGTTTTAATGTTGCCAAGGGGCCAAGATTTCAGAACCGCGTGCCTTGCCATTAGCAGTTCAGGCATACGGGTCTCCAGGAAGCAAGAGACACCATCATCAGGCTGGGATCCCAGGGGCAGGCGGGTCTCCGTTGCGAGCGGCACCCAGACATGGCCACTTCCAGGTTGAGGCCGCAGCGGGTGAGAATGAAGTTCAGGTCCGTCCGCAGAAAGCGCAGAGCGACAAGCTTTCAAACATTGAGTGCGCGACGTTGCAATCGGGTCTGTCAGCAGGAAGCGCGAGGCCGAGACATCAGGAATGTGCTTTTCGGGGCCACGTCTTCATTTGAACCAGAAGCTGATCTGGAATATGGCCCCCCTTTTCAAAAATTTACATCATTGTGATTCAATGTTGGCCTCCACGGGCGTAGGACCGGAATCTTTAACTATGACTTTACACTGGGCCATCTTCCATCCAGTTTGTGGCACAGTGTTCTGCACACGAGGGGCGCTCGCAGGCGATGTTGGTGCAGGCAGGGTTCGGTTTCTTTCGCCACGCGGCGATGGTAAACACATTTTTGTATTCTCAGGTGCGCCGTGGCTGCACGATTCATGGAGCGAGCCCTGGGACATGCTTGCTTGTTGGTTGGCGCGCATAGTCGTTCGTGAAAAATTGCAAGCTTCCCCTTGGGAGAGCCCCAGGATTCAGCCCTGTATCCACCACGCAACGCCGCCCACGTGTGGATGCGATCCATTCGCGGGCTGCGCCCGCGATTCCGATTCGATTCTTCAGGCTTACGCCACATCCGCCGACCCCTTAATTAAAGTCAATGATCAGATGGTTCGAAACCGTTTGGCGGTCGTTTTGGGGTTCTTGTCGGGTTTCTTGGGAGCTCTTCGGGGCCTGAGGGGGGCATCTTTGGGGCTGTTCGGGCTACTCCTGGGCTCGTCTTCGAGCTCTCTTGGGCTTCTTTGGGCTCTTCTTAGGCTGCTTTGGCGTCCTCGTGGGCCGTCTTGGGGCCTTTCTGGCCCCCAGGGGTGCTTTTTTGGTGCCCCCGGGGGTTCCTGGGGGCGGAAAGCTAGATTTTGTAGATTTTTGGTGGCCCTCTGGGGCTCTTCATGGTGCTGTCTTGGAGTCCTATGGGGCCGTCTTGGGGGCCCTGGGCGCGCGTGCTGGGGAGGGAACACAAAGACGCGGAGAGAAGGATGGGGGGAGGGGAGCACGGAGGGGACGGAAGGGGGAGGGACACAAAGAGGAGGCTCTGGGTTATGGGTTACGGGTGAGCGGCTTCTTGTATGTGTATCGGGATCTCGCGGCACGCCTCTCGGGAGCCTTGGGGGCCGAGGTGGAGGAGGAGGAGGGGGAGGAGAAGGAGGGGGACACAGAGAGGAGGCTCTGGGTTATGGGTTATGGGTTAGAGGCTTCTGGTATGTGTATCGGTATCTCGTGGCGCGCCTCTCGGGGGCCTCTGGAAGGCAGTTTTGACGCCGCCTCTCGGGAGCCTAGGGGGCCGAGGTGGAGAAGGAGGGGGAGGAGAAGGAGGGGGGCACAGAGAGGAGGCTCTGGGTTATGGGTTATGGGTTGGAGGCTGCTTGTATGTGTATCGCGTCCTCGCGGCGCGCCTCTCGGGAGCCTCTGGAAGGCAGTTTTGACGCCACTTGGGAGCCGTTTCGGAGGCTCTGGGAGTCTTTGGGGGGCCTCCTGGGAGCCTTTTGCGAGCTCCTTGAGGCGTCTTGGCCGCCTTTGGGGGGCCTCTGGCGGCCACTTGGGGCACTCTTCGGGCTCCCTGGGGCTCCCGGGGGCGGACAAGTAGAATTTTGAATTTTTGGTCGCCCTCTTCGGCTCCTCTTGGTGCCGTCTGGGAGCCTTCTTGGGCAGTCTTGGGGCCCTTTTGAGCCGTCTTGGGGCCATATTAGGCCGTCGTGGGGCCGTCTTGGGGTGTTCTTTTGGAATGTCTTGGGGCGGTCCTCGGGGCCTCTTGGGCCGTCTTGGAGCGTCGAAAAGCCCACACAGCGAACGTGTTAAACAACATACGGTTTACGAAGGAGATGAGCCATTTTTTGCGTCCAGGGACCCTCTTGGGACCCACCTTGGAGGCCTCTTGGGGGCGTCTTGGGCTATCTGGAGGCCATCTCGGGTGTCTTTGATCGCTCTTGGACCGTCTGGGACCATTGAAACTCTCTTCGAAGCCAGTTGGCGCGCTCTTGGAGCGCTCTTGGGGCCGTCTTCAGGGCTCTCTTGGGCCGCGTTCGGCGCCTCTGGAGCCGTCTTGGGCCCCTCTTGGGCTGTCGTGGGGCCGTCTTGGAGGCTTCTTGGACCGTCTTGGGGCGGTCTTGGAGGCCTCTGGGGCCGTCTGGGAGCGTCGGAAAGCCCAAAAGGCGAATTTGTGAAACATCTACGTTTCACAAAGGAAACGGGCCAATTTTTGCGGTTAGAGGCCCTCTTGGGACGTATTTTGGATGCTTCTTGGGGCCTCTTGGGGGCATATTGGACCGCTGGAGGCCATCTTCGGTGTCTTTGATCGCTCTTGGACCGTCTGGGACCATATTGAGCTCTCTGGGAGGCGACTTGGAGCGCTCCTGGAGCGCTCTTGGGGCCGTCTTCGGGGCCCTCTTGGGCCGTCTTGGACGCCTCCTGGGCTGTCTTGGGGCCCACTTGGGCTATCGTGGGACCCTCTTGGAGGCTTCTTGGGCCGTCTTGGGGCGGTATTGGGGTCCTCTTGGGCCGTCTGAGAGCATCGGAAAGCCCAGAAGGCGAATGTATGAAAATTATATGTGTTACGAAGGGAATGGGCCAATTTTTGCGTCTAGGGACCCTCTTGGGACGCATCTTGGAGGCCTCTTGGGGACCTCTTGGGCCGTCTTGGGGGCCTGTGAGCCCATCTTTGGGCCAGCTAGGGCGTCTTGGAGCGCTAGTTTAGCGTCTCGGGGCCCTCGTGGGCCGTTTTGGAGGCCTCTTGGAGCTTTCTAGGCCCGTCTTGAGGCCTTCTTGGGCCCGGAAAAGCTTCGTGATGCGCTCGTCCGGGGCGAGGGGGGGGTCAAATCTCCGGTTTGGGGTCCCTTGGAGGGGGTTATGGGGGAGGAGGGAACTATCTCACACGCCGAGAGACCCACAAGGGGTCGGCGGATTCGATTTGGTTCGGGACACCAACATCGGCCAGGGCCAGTTGGAGCTAGCCGCGCGGCGATCCGATTTTGATTCGATTCGGTTCGGGACGATTCGCTGGCGATCCGATCCGTGTTCGATCCGATTTGGCTTCGCGTTTCTATCCGGCCCGTATTCACCAGGACTTTTGATCCTCGTGCCAGCGCTCGTCGCCGCAGCCGCCGCCGCCGGTCGTCCTCACCGCTATCGCCGCTGCCGGTCGTCCTCACCCCCGCCGTCGCCATGGTCGTTGTCGTCGTCGTCGTCATCGGCTGTCGTCGGCTGGCATGTAAGTATTCGTCCGTCGTCGTCGTCGTCCGCCGACCGCCGAACGTCGTCCGTCGTCCGTCGCCGTCGTCGTCGTCGTCGTCGCCGACCGCGGACCGCCGACCGCCGACCGCCGACCGCCGACCGTCCTCAGTCGTCGTCGTCGTCGTCGTCCTCGTCCTCGTCTTCCTCGTCGTCGTCGTCGTCGTCGTCGTCGTCGTCGTCGTCCTCGCCGCCGTCGTTCTCGCCGCCCCCGTAGTCGTCGCTGTCGTCGTCGTCGGCTGACGATCGACGCTCTGGCATGTGTGTGAGTGTGTTTGGTCCTCCGCTGGGGCCCAGAGGGCGCTCGGATGCCTTCGGAGGACGTCGAGAGCTGCCCGCGGCCGCTCTCGGAGGCACCCCATGAGGCCCGATCGGAGAGGCTCCTCGGAGGCCTTGGCGGCCGGGGTGCGCGTGCACGGGGCGGGTCGAAGGATGGGTGGCCGTGCCCCTGCGTGCGTCAAGGCACTCGCGTGTGTCAAGGATGGGTGACCCTCTCCCTGCGGAAGAAAACGGATTCGACCGTGCGGGCATTCGCGCTTGAGCTGCCTGCGTAAGGCTGCGCGAGCCCAGGCCTCCACGATAGGGTCCAAGTAGATGGGGTCAGTGGGTCTCGCCGCACTTTATGCATCGGCGATGCGGCGCGGTGTAGCCCGAGTTTCTCCACCCCGACGTCGCCGATACATCGCCGACGTTGCCGATGCATCGGCGATGCGGCGCGATCCTCAGACCTCATCTGCTCGGAACCCTAGCCTCCTGCTCAACGTTGTTCTTGCAATTTAGTGGACCGTTTTCGATTTGATTCGTTTCGCAGCAGAGACAGACCGAAAACAGGACAAGGGAACACGAAAACAAAACGACAGTGAAAGACACTGTTTAGCTCCAGCCCTGTTGGACCCCACATTGTGAGGCCTCCAGTATGCCATAATCCTTGCCCCCCGTCCCGCTCCTCGCCGTCCTTTTCCTCCCTCTTCCCCATGAGATCCTGGCCCCCCGTGTCTGTCTCGCCCTCTTCGTTCGTGCTTCGCCCTTCCCTTTTTGGGCTCCGGCACCGCGCGGCGGGCTGTGCTGCGATTCTGGGTCGGAGTCCTGGCCCGTCCCTCGTCTGGTACCCCTCGTCCTCCGCGTCGCCCGCCCCCCCGCTCTTCACCTCCCGTCCCTTCTCGTCCTCCTCCCTTCCATGCTTCTGACGGCGTCGTGCCCATGTGCTCCGTGGTCGCTCGCTCGCTCCCCCCTCTTCCTGCCCGGTCTACCCCTGAGGACAGCAAAACCTACTTCCTCCCCCAAGCCAGGAGCCCCGCTCCCGACCTGGTGATCCAGGGGGTCCAGGCGGGGGGTGGCGGGAGCTTTTGAGCAAGCAAGAGCGCCAGCCTGGACCTCCTGGATCACCAGGTCGTGAGTGGGGGTCCTGGCTTGGGGGAGGGGGTGGGTTGTGCTGCCCTCTCACTCCGCCTTGTCGTGGTCGGAGACCCCCCCCCGTGGCTCGGTCTGACGGGGTAGAGCGGCAGGTACTACGGCGGCAGCGGCGCCGCGATGATCCAGGGTTCCTGCGGGGGGCTGGGGGGCAGCCGACCAGAGGCGACGATGGGGGTGGATAGTCGAGGGGCGTTGGAGTCGGCTGGGGGCCTGAGGCGGCCCAGCCTTGGTTCGGGCAAGCAGGAAGGGGGGAAGAAGTTCAAGGAGTTGTGATCGAGAAGGTTTTGTGTTCCTTTTCTACCGTTTTCGGTCCAGGGAACTGTCAAAAACGCACCCGGGCTGAAAAACAAAATGTCCAGGGACCGATGCGGAGCGGAGGTGCTCTTATCTCCGTTTCTTCCCGGATTTTCTGGGGGCTCATCCCGTTCAGGCCCCCCCGCCGCCTCCAACCTTACATTTGGGCCCCTGGCTCAAATGGTGCTCCCAGGATTTCCAAGGAGGCCCCCACGGCCTCCAGAGCACCCCTCACTAGATAGAGGGCCCCATGGGCTCCAAAATGGCGCGAAAGGCTGGAGGCACCTTGGGACCCACCGGCGACAAACCCCGCGAGCCGCCCGCGACCCACCCGCGACCCACCCGCGACCCCCCGGCGACCCACCAGCGACAAACCCCGCGACCCGCCCGCGACACACCCGCGACCTACACGGGACCCACCCGCGACCTGGCTCGCGACCCGCCCGCGACCCACCCGCGAGCCAAGGGCACCTTTGGCAATCCCCCGTGCACGTCGTCGCTGGGGCGCTTCGTCGAAGGCGTGGGCGGTGGGAGTCCCTTGGAGCGTGCACTGGTCCTTCGTACGGGCGGTCCGCCCCTGCGTTATAACGCGCGCGATGTATGTAGCCTCCAAAACCCACCTGCCCACCCAGTTCAGGGGCAACGATAGGGGGCGATATGCATAGGGGGACGCATCGAGTCCCAATCGCCCAGTGATCGCCGATGGGGGCTCGATGGCCCCAAACTGCCCAGGAAGGTTGGAATTCACGATCGGAGGCCTGTCGCCGATCTATCGGCGATGTATCGCCGATTCCAGGTCGATGCATCCCCCCATGCCAGCCCCCCCCTATCGTTGCCCTCACCAGTAGGTAAAATAACGACCGCCGCCCTACCAACTCTCGTTACAGCAGCGCTTGTTGTTGAGCGCACAAGTCTTATGTTCGTATGTGCGCAGGCATGTGCTTGTGGTCTGTAGAGGCGTGTGGCGCGCACAGGCTGTTGTGGCACTCACACAGGCGCTGCCGCGCACTCACATAGGAAGAGACAAGCAGTTCGATGTGCATAGCGCACAGGCTGGCTGCGGCGGCAGTTGTGGTGCACACAGGCGTGGTGGTGCCTAGCACTGTGGTACACATTGGTATTGCTGCGCGCGCACCCAACGGGGGTAGGGGCCGTGTCTGCGGCCAGGAAAAACTACGACAAGCACAAGCATGCTGAATTTGATAAGTTCGGGCTGTCCATGGTTTGTTGGAGTTTGACAACGTCGGGCACCTCGAGGTGTACGCAGGGTTTGTGGTGTGCGCGGGCACTGTGCTGTACATGCTGGCGGCGCACAGAGGCACAGGGTACGTTCGTACGCAGGCACAGGGGTGCGCAGACTTGTTGTTTTTCGTGGATTGCTACGTGGCGAGAGGTACTCCGTTGATCCTGGTGCGCCGCGATTTCTTGGAACAAGTTTGTCTTACCACCGCGCCGACCACGGCGCACTGACCACTCTTGGACCCCGCAGTGATCAATCTATTGGGAAGGATTTACGGCTTGTGCCGCCGACCCTGGAGGGCGAGGAGAACGAGGAGGGCGAGGAGGACGAGTGGGACGAAGGGCACATGAGGTGGGCAATGAGGGGGGGGAGGGATTTGAGCCTCTCGGTGCCCTGTTGGGCACGCTTTTAGGTTTGGGCCTCTTGGCCGCCATTCGGAGCCTCCTCAGGGTGTCTAGGGGCGGACAGCTCGAATTGCTGGTTGGTGGCACCCTCTTTGGATACCCTTGGGCATTGGGGAGTTTATTTGGCCGTTTTGGGGCCATTTTGAGCCGCGGTTGAACCACGTTGCGAGCTTGTTGAGCCAGGGCCTTCTCGGACGAAGCCGCGGCACATGTGAACTCGAGGCGCCAAGGGCCCCCCCCCCCCGGAGGGAGCTTCGCCGCCGCGGCCGCACATAATTCGAACAACTTGCCTGAGTGGTATGCAGGCGGCCAAACAGCAGTAACCACAACAAGCTTGGATATTCAATGTGATAAGTTCGCGCCCCCCCCACACGAACACGAGTTTCGGTTGATGGGCCTCGTCGTGACTTTCGATGTTTACGCGGCTTCAGTGGTACACTGTGGCGCACGCAGGCGCCAGTCGCCGCGCTGCGCGCTGCTGCTGTGGTGTGCGCGCTGGTCGTGTTGTATACAAGCGTTGTGGTACACGCGGAATGTGTTGGTGTGGCGCAGCTGTGTTGTGCCAGGCGTTGTGGCGCGTCGCAGCTGTGTACACAGGCGCTGTGGTGCACAGGAGCACTGCCATGCACCCACGCACTGTGATGTACACAGGCGATGTGGTGCATGCGTAGGTTGTTGCATCCTCATGCGTGGTGAAAGCGGGCGTTGCGGTGTCAACGCGCCTTGTGGCTATCGCAACTGCAAGGCCTGTTCGTTACATCCGTAACTACCAAGACTCGCAACAGGGACGTTGGCTTCAGAAAAAAACATTCGCATGACCGGGCACGACTGTGTCACGCTATGTTCCAGCGAACACGCCCAAGCACCCAGCCACATAGCGCGCGCTATATGGTTTCAAAAATAGTGTGACGGCCTGACGGCCCGTGCCGCCGACCCTTAAAGACAGCGACGACGACCAGGAGGGGGAGGAGGAGGAGAAGAATGAGGAGGAGGAGGAGGAAGCGGAGATCAGGAGGAGGAGGAGGAAGAGAAGAAGGAGGAAGAGGACCCCCCCCTGGGCCCCCCCCCCCTGCGAACCCATCTCACCCACCCAGCCACATAGCGCGCGCTATGTGGTTTCAAAATTATTTGAGCTCCTACAGCCACCGGAGCGACGGAGCCCGCCCGCCACTCCCTCACCATGAGCTGGCAACTGAGCGATGAGATAAAACGGGTCCCATTGCGCCGACGTTTGCGCGTAAGTTTCCCGCGTAAGGTCGCGCGTGAGATCTCTCGCTTCCAATGAGATTTGCCGCGCCGGCGGCCCGCGCAAGCCGCCGCGTAAGGTCGCTTTGTCATCTCGCGTAAGACACGTTTATGATTGTCTTTCAGCTGACACCTGGCACTCGCACTCTAAACCTCCCAGATGGGGTACGAAGATATGGGGTCGAATGTTCACGCCGCATCGCCGATGCATCGGCGATGCGGCTCGATGTGGAGCCCGATTTTGTCCACGCTGGCGTCGCCGATGTATCGCTGACGTCGCCGGTTAATCGCCGGAGCATCGGCCACAGCATCGCCAGTGCATCGCCGATGCATCGCCGATGTGTCGGCAATGCGGCGCGATCCTCCGACCCCATCTGCCCCGACCCCGTCTAGGGGGCCTCTACAATTGGCACCCATACGTGCGCGAGCTCCAGATTTCTCGGGGTCCGAGTCGGGGGGTGCTGTGTGTGCGTGTTGTCGGATGGGGCTCCCTGCTCGAACGGGTGGGAACGAAGGCCTCTCTCTCGGGGTCCGGCAATCCGCGCAGCCTCAAGTCGCGAGGCACAGGTCAGCCCCGCTTACGAGAACGAAGGAGTGTTGTCCATTCGTTATTTTCGAATGAGCTCGTGCTGTGGACGCTTGGAAGGGCGCGTGCGTGTTCTATCGGGGGGTGGGGGCTGAATGTCTGGGGCAGGGGTCGAATCGGGAGGGGGGGGGGGCATCAAGCGGGGGGCGGGATCGAGCTGGGGGGGGGAGGGGGTCCCTGGATTGCGCGGGGTGGGGGTCGAACCGGGGGCGGGGGGCCGCCTGCAACCGACGACGGCGAGCGCTAGCGCCAGCGCCGTCGGACAGCGACGACGAAGACGACCGACGGCGGCGACGGCGGCGACGACGACCGACGACGGCGATCGAGCTGTGGTGGGATGCTATGAAGGTTGGATCAGATTATGGAACTATTTCGGAATTTGATCGAACCCTGCGAGGATCCAAGTCGAGTTTGATATACCTACAGATCGAGCTGTAGTAATGTTTAACTAGAGCTGGATCCAGCTATAGTAGGATTCCATCAATGTGGGATCGAGGCCGGCTAAGATGCTATAACAGTTGGATCCAGCTGTAGCAGGATTATATGAGAGCTTGATCGAGCCTTACGGGGATTCGAGTAGGGCTGGCCCAGATGCAATGCAATTCTATCAGAGTTGAACCGAGCCAGCTTGCGATGCGACTTAAGCAGGTTTCAAGTGTAGTTTTAAGTCGAGCGTGTCCCTCTACAGGAGGACTATTCAAACATAGGCAAACCAAATAGTATAGGGAGGTTTTGTTGAGTATGTCTGGACAACTTTTGACAATGTTTTGAGCATGTTTTGCAAAAAAATCAGCCTGTAGGGGGACATGCCCGACCTAAGGCTAGCATAGCGTTTCCCCGCTCGATCCTGCTCATCTTTCCCCCTCTGTGTGTGCTCCTGCGCCGCTCGCCACAGCCGAGAGCTGGTGATGGACCACTTTGGGTTCAGGAGAGGCTCTGGCTTTGTGGCCGTTCCTCCGATCCAGGTCGGGTAACTTGTTCGTTGTAGAGGCTCGTCGTGGCCAGGAAAGGCATCGCCCCCCCTGTAGTCGCGCGATGCCTGTATTAAAAACACACAAGACAACCACGACCAGTCCGCAGCACAGCCACGACTGGTCCTCACCAACAAAAAAGATTGGCTGTACGTAGAGCTGCGTAGTTGTGCAGATCCGTTGCCGCGCATGTTGCGCAATCATCTTCAGCATTGCGGCAATTCGTGCCGCCACTCGCTGGGCTGCTGGTTGGTTGCAGGCGTAGGCTCGGAAGCATCGGCGAGGCAGACGCGACGGGCGGGCGGCGGGATGACCGTGGAAGCTCGACGCTCCCCAACCTGAGCCAGTTCCCCCGATCGTTCTCCATCGCGCATGGTGTTTTCATTATTCCTGGTGGGGAGCAGCACTTCGAGACGCTTCACGCAACCTCACCAGCCCGTCTAGAAACGGTACCCAGGCGGGTTGCCCTCACCAGGGATGTGGAGGAGCATGCCGTGGAATACGGGGCCAGGGACGCCGTCATACCCCGCGAGGGGGGGGTGGAGGCGGGGTCGTATGAGGAGGGGGATGGGTGGGAGGGGACGGAGGAGGGACGAGGAGTAATAGGCAGATCAGGAGGAGGAGGAGGAGGACGACGAAGAAGAGGAGGAGGAGGGCGAGCAGAAAGGCCAGCGGCCTCTTGGATGCCTCTTGGGTTCTCTTCGGAGAGCTTCTTGGAGTCCCGCTGGGGCGTCTTGGGAGCCTTTTGGCGGTCCCAGGGGACTCTTGGAGCGTCTTGGGCGCATTGGGGACGCCTCTTAGGGCCTCTTGGGGGTTTCTTCGGAGCCTCCTGGGGCCTCTTCGGGGGCCTCTTGAGGCCTCCTGGGCGCCTCCTTGGGCCCACTCTGGAGCCTTGGGGGCCATCTTGGAGACGATCGATCAAATAAGAGATGGGGACTGGATCAGCGTCGCCCCCCCCCAGGAAACCTAAGTAGGCAATAGGCCCCAAATAGTAGTAAGGTAAATGGTTTGTTGCTTCTCGCAGAGGCATTCTTGGACGCCCCAATGGTCGCGCCCCCCCCGTCCAGGTCCATCGGAGGGGGTAAGGGGAGAGGCAAACCCTTCCCTAGAAGGGAAGAAGGGGTGTTGGAAGAGAAAACGTCCTAAACCACTCACGCCCTAAAGGGCTGGTGGGATTATGGGTTCACTGGGTCCGTCTTATGTGCCTGCGAGGCGACATGCCTGGACACGAGGCAGAGAAGACGCGTCGACCAGAGGATTAACCGACCTGTCATATGTCAGCGCACGGGTAAAGAAACAAAAAGGCACCTCTCGCGCCTCCTCCGTTCCCACGGTTTCCCGGAGGCCACCCGCGGGGATCGCAGGTCAGCGCGCAGTTTTGTTTCTCCCCGCCCCGCGGCCAGATCCAACAACGCAGTCCGCTACTGCCACATCGCGCGCGGCGATGGGCAGGCCGCTCACCAGATGTCACTTTCGCACAGGGACACCCTTGCGTGTGACCGATCTTGTGTGCCAGAATTCGGTAGCGAGCCAGGGGTAGAAGTGAGACGGGGCGGGCCTTCTCAAAAGGCTCGGAAGCCCCCCGGCCTTCTGAGAAGTTTTCTAAGCCTTCCCCGAAGACAGAATGCTTCTCAGAAGGCGTGAGGATTTCGGAGAAGTCCCGCCGCCTTCTACCAAGGCCTTCTTTCTCCTTCTCACTTCCTCCATGGGCGCGCCGCCGAATTTGGTTTTTGGGTCATAACTCGGGTCTCTGGCGGCCGTCCGGGACGATCCAGGCACCCCCGGAACGCCCTCGGAAAGGCGCAGTTGTTGGCAACTATACCGAGGCTAAAAAACCGCCGAGAACCGACGAAAGCGTCCGAAAACCTCGAAGTTCGAACCTCGAACTTCCCCCCCTCGCTCGCTGGCTCGGGGTGGAGCGATGCGCGCGGTGTTGGAACCCAGCGCCGACGGCACCGCGACGCGCGCGTGCCATGTCCTGGCCCTCCGACCCGGGCTGGTCCGCCGAAGGCGGGGCTGCCGTCTCCGCTCCACGCCCGGGTGCATTTTCGAGGAGGAGCTGCGCGGCCTCAGTGGGTCGCTGGGCCTGTGGCCCTCTCATGGGCGCCCTGGCTGGGAGGAGGAGGAGGAGGAGGAGGAGGAGGAGGAGGAGGAGGAGGAGGAGGAGGAGCAGAGGAGCAGCAGGAGCAGGAGGAGCAGGAGGAGGAGGAGGAGGAGGAGGAGGAGGAGGAGGAGGAGGAGGACTTGGGCTACCTCAGTGGGTCGCTGGGCCTGTGGCCCTCTCGTGAGCCCCCTGGCCGCGTGCTGGGCGCCCACAGGGCGCGTGCTGGAGCTCGGGGCCGCCCTCCTGCCAGGCAGCATCGGCGACGCGATGTCTCAGCCCGCCAAGCCTGAGTACCACACGGCTGCCTCGGGCGCCGGTTCGGGCATCATCGGATTGCTGGAGGCCCCCCTGCGCCCGTGCTTCAATCTGCAGGTTTCGGAGCAGTGGGAGGAAGGGGAGCAGGCGGAAGAGGAGGAGGAAGAGGAGGAGGAGGAGGAGGAGGAAGGATGAAAGGAGAGGCACTGGCGGAGGAGGAAGGAGGTTGAATGGCGGAGGAGAGAAAGGCAAGAGCAGGGGCGAGGAGAGAGGAGGCGGAAGAAGGGCGAGGTTCAGGACAAGAGGAGGAGGAGGAGGAGGTGGAGGAGGAAAAGGAGGAGGATGTGGAGAAGGATGATGATGATGATGATGATGATGATGATGATGATGATGATGATGATGATGATCATGATCATGATCATGATCATGATCATGATCATGATCATGATCATGATGATGATGCTGATGCTGATGCTGATGATGCTGATGATGCTGATGATGCTGATCTGATGATGCTGATGATGCTGATGCTGATGCAGATGCTGATGCTGATGATGATGAAACTGATGAAAATGATGAAAATGATGAAAATGATGAAACTGATGAAAATGATGAAAATGATGAAAATGATGAAAATGATGAAAATGATGAAAATGATGAAAATGATGAAAATGATGAAAATGATGATGATGATGATGATGATGATGATGATGATGATGATGATGATGATGATGATGATGATGATGATGCTGATGCTGATGATGCTGATGCTGATGATGCTGATGCTGATGATGCTGGTGCTGGTGCTGTGCTGGTGCTGGTGCTGGTGCTGGTGCTGGTGCTGGTGCTGGTGCTGATGCTGATGATGATGATGAGGAGGAGGAGGAGGGAGGAGGAGGAGGAGGAGGAGCAACATGAGGAGGATATGGAGAAGGAGGGAGAGGAGGGAGAGGAGGAGGAGGAGGAGTAGGAGTAGGAGGAGGTGGAGGAGGAAAAGGAGGAGGACGAGGAGGAGGAGGAGGAAGAGGAGGGGGAGGAGGAGGAAGATGAGGAGGATATGGAGCAGGAGGAGGAGGCGGAGGAGCAGGACGAAGAGGAGGAGGAGGAACGAGAAACGAGGAGCGAGGAGGAAGAGGAGGAGGAAGGAGGAACGAGGAGCGAGGAGGAGGAGGAGGAGGAGGAGGAGGAGGAGGAGGAGAGGAACGAGGACCGAGAAACGAGGAGGAGGAGCAGGAGGAAGAGGAGGACGCAGCAGCCTGGTTTCGGCAAGCGTGCGGCCCCTCCTTCCCCTTCCCATGCTCTGTCATTCCTCCCTCTTCCCCCCCCCCGCGCATCTCGGCATCACCCAAACATACCTCAGCAATGTGTATATCGGCGCGCGCGCTCATGAATCTTATAGTCGGTGGCGGGCGCTTTCTGGCCATACCACCCAGGCAACGACATACTATAAGATCCTCAAGCAGTGCTTGCACTGGGTTCTCACTTCTGTGCTAAGGTAACTGGGCCCCAGTGGTGGTCCGGCCAGACCGTTGCCGCCCGTTGCAGCCTCTGCCGCAGGGGACCAGTGGCGGCCCGGCCGGCTGGTCGCCGCCCGTCGCCGCTGCCCGTCGCCGCCGCCCGTGCAATGCGATTGCAATCACATTTGGTGGGCTTGTTTTCCACCACCACCACCATAAGTAGGAGGGGGAGGGGTCCTCCTCTTCTTCCTCCTCATTCTCCACCTCCCTCCCTCCCCCCTCCAACTTATGGTGGTGGTGGTGGAAAACAGGCCCATCAACATTGCAATAGCGTTGTTGTGTTTTTTGAAGTGTGTTGCATTGCTTTGCGTTGTGTTGTATTGCGTTGCGTCGTTTTGCGCGTTTATTTGCCTTGTATTGTTTTGCATTGTTGCGCCTTGCTTTTGTATTGGTTTGCGTTGCTTGGCCTTGCGTTGCGTTGCGTTGCAGTGCATTGCTTTGCATTGATTTGTATGAATTTGTATCGCTTTGCAACACATCCGTTGTCCCACATGTATTGAAACATCTAGATTGCACCACGTTCGTTGCACCACCTAGAGTGCACCGCATATACTGCAAGACGTCACTGATTGGGGTCCATCGTTGCTAACATGTGTTTGTGTGATCAGTTAGGTTCGGACTTGCGCCTCCAAGGGGAGCGCATAGTACTAGTACGTCCTTCGGCGTCCAATATCTCTTTTCTCCTCCTCCCCTGTTCCCCGCCCGTCCTTCCTCTCCCCCTCGCGGGGCAGAACACATTTCCGTATACATGGCCTCGTGGGCCAGGCCCATGGACCGCGACACCATGGTACGGGGCGCTCTGTCGATGACCGCGCATCCCCGGGATCGCGCCCCGGAATCCAGACCGCGAGGGCGTGGACATAGATATTCGGGGGCGTCCAAGAGGGGGGTGATGACTCGGGGAGGGGGGATCACATCTGGGAGCAGGAAGCGCACCACCACCTCGGAAGGCCTCCGGCCTTCTGAGAATTTCCCGAAGCCTTCTGCGACAACAGAGATGGCTTCTTAGAAGGCCACAGGGCTCCTGAGAAATTCCCCGTTGTACTTGCCGTTGATCTTCGTTCGGCTGGCGAATGCAGCTTCCCGCAGCCCACGCGCCAGCCGCCCCCTGTCACTCCACACCTGGCGCCTGCGCTGCGCGCGCGGGTCTTCAGAGTACCCCGCGGGGAGGCCCCTGCAGCCGCCCTGGTTGACGCGGCAATCTCAAGATGCAAAGCCAGACATGCTCGCATGTTCGCGTAGTAACAAATGACGACGGGGGAGGCTGGCGTTTTCGGTTTCTGGGGTCTTTCGCCGGGTCCTGGGACAGTCAGGAAACAACTTGGGTTAAAACGATGTGGGTTAAACGATTTGGTCTTAGTCAGAAGCGTGGCATATCCAATTATAGTCGAACGTTAGCCTGGCGAAGGACCCAACCATATGCAGTCGATCGTACCGCAATTGTGAATACCATCTTCGCCCGCGCTCCCTATGTGGCCGCGGCTTCTCGCCGGAGCCCGACATGCTCAGAGACACGTTCGTGGCCGTCTTCGCGGGCGCCGACGACGACGAGGACAGCGTTCTTCCGATCGAGGAGCAGATGCAGGAGAGGGTTCTGAGAGCCATGAGTGGAGGTGCCAGTGGGGCCTTCGGTGGAGCTCCTAGCCACGATCTTCGTGATGGGGTGTGGCGACATGGCCCGAGGCCGCCACACGAACCCTGCCACTGGCGCCCTCGGTGGAGCTCCTGCGGGGCCACGATCCTCGTGATGGGTGTGCCGAAATGGCCCAGGGCCGCCATGCGAACCCCGCCACTGGGGCCCCCGGTGGAGCTCCTTATTGGGCCACGATCCTCGTGAGGGGTGTGCCCGAATGCCCCGAGGCCGCCGCGTGAACGCAGCCATTGGGGCCTTTGGTGGAGCTGCCCATGGGGCCACGAGGCGCGCGAGGGGTGTGCCGAAATGGCCCGAGGCCGCCGCGCGAACCTTGCTATTGGCGCTTTCGGTGGAGTTCCCAATCAGGCCACGCAACACGTGAGGGGTGCGCCGAAATGGCCCGAGGCCGCCGCGCGAACCTTGCTGCAGGGACCGTCGGTGGAGCTCCCTATGGGGCCACGAAGCACGTGAGGGGTGTGCCGAAATGCCCCGAGGCCGCCGCGCGAACCCTGCTACTGGCGCCTTCGGCGGAGTTCCATATGAGTCCACGATCCTCGCGATGGGTGTAGCGAAATGGCCCGATGATGCCGCGCACACATTGCTATTGGCGCCGTCGGTGGAGCCCCTACGTGGCCACGATCCTCGTGAGGAGCGTGCCGAAAGGGTCCAGGGGCCCTCGGTGTAGCTCCCCATTGGGCCACGATCCTCGTGCGGGGTGTGCCGGGATGGCCCGAGGCCGCCACGCGAACCTTGCCACTGTCGGTGGAGCTCCTTACGGGGCCATGAAGCGTGCGAGGGGTGCACCGAAATGGCCCGGGGCCGCCGCGCGAACCCTGCCACTGGCGCCTTCGGTGGAGCTCCCAGCCCAGCGGGGCCACGAACCGCGTGAGGGGTGTGCCGACATGGCGCAGGGCCGCCACGCGAACGCTGCCACTGGCGCTTTCGGTGGAACTCTCTACGGGGCCACGATCCTCGCGAGGGGTGTGCCGAAATGGCCCGAGGCGCTGCGCGAACCCTGCCGGTGGGGCTTTCGGTGGAGCCCCTTTTATCGGGCCACGGAACGTGTGAAGGGGGGGTGCCGAAGTGGAGGGCGGAACCGCATGCTGCCAAAACGCGAACGCAGCCATTGGGGCAGTCGGTGGGGTTCCCTATGGGGCCACGAAGCGTGCGATGGGTGTGCCGAAATGGGGAGTGGAACCGCTTGCCGCCAAAACGCGAACGCAGCCACCGGGGCCTTCGGTGGAGCTCCCCACGGGGCCACGAAACGTGTGAGGGGTGTGCCGAAATCGGAGGTTGAACCGCATGCGGCCGAATCACGAACTCAGCCATTGGGGCCTTCGATGGAGCTCCCTATGAGGTCACGAAGCGTGCGAGGGGTGTGCCGACATGGGAGGTGGAACCGTTTTTTGCCAAAACGCGAACGCAGCCACTGGGGCCTTCGGTGGAGCTCCCTATGGGGCCACGAAGCGTGTGAGGGGTGTGCCGAAATGGGGGGCGGAACCGCATGCGGTCCACACGCGAACGCAGCCATTGGGGCCTACGGTGGGATTCTTTATGGGGTCACGAAGCGCGTGACGGGTGTGCCGGAATGGGGGGTGGAAGAGCATGCGGCCAAAACGCAAACGCAGCCACTGGGGCCTTTGGTGGAACTCATTATGGGGCCACGAAAACGCTGCATTGGGTGGGTGAAACGCAGGACGGAGGGAGGAGAGGGAGGAGGAAAAGGAAGAGGCGGATAACGCGGGGACCATTATTTCAAAACGAGGGCCCAATACCACAGGACGGTTGAGAAATAGTTTGGTGACGACGTTCCGTGTTTTTTTTGAATGTGTTTGGTCATGTCTTGATTATATGTGATTTGTTACACCATCTGCCTGTAGAAGGACATGCCCGAACTTAGACGTGTAATGAAAATGTGACGCTGGGGAACATGTCGG